GGACACCCGCCGCGCTAACATCAGGATGCCTATGGACGAACTTGCCGAGCTTCGTGATCTCCTTCGGGCCACTCTTCACACAGCTTCAACTACCCAATGTCAACTCGAGTCTCTTCTGGGAAAGCTCCCGTTTGCTACAAGAGTGATAGCCCCTGGATGCAAATTGCAGATTGTGGTCACTTGCCAACTGGTACCGGCAGCCGTGTTACCTGATCAAGCTCTCCAAAGAGTGCCTCAAAGATCTTCGCCGATGGCCTGAGCTCCTGGATTAGCGGAACGGCCGGTCCTTCTTCCTATACCCTAAATGGACGCCGTCCCCCGACTTGCTGGTATTCACTGATGCAAGTGGTGCACTTGGCCGGTGCTCGTACAATTGCGACCGGGGATAGGGCGATGGACAGTCAATCAAGCAGAGCAGCAATCGCAAAGGGTTGTTTGCAATTGTGGCAGCCCGCAGCACCTGGGAAAACTAGCGGCATCAGCTGCGAATGCCAATCGATGGGCATTTACAGCAACTGCGAGGATATTGCTCATCAGTTGTGGCTTTGGCCTGGCGTTGTACACCGGCCACTCGTTTCGAATCAGCTGCGGGACTCGATATTCAGAGAGGCGGGAAGGTGGAAAGCGATGTCTGCCCGAGTAACATTCGGACGCCACCTGCAGCCAAAGTATGGGTGGCTGCGGCAATGGCCTCAGCCCATGATATCAAGTTCTGACAGCAAGTTCTGACAGTCTTTACCTAGCTTGCACCGCTTACAGATTGCACGGGTAGCTGCACTTTGTGATCCGCTCCGGGAGTGCCGATTTATGGAATATATGCTCTCAACTGGTTATGCATACCAATATATTTAGCATTTGGAGGCTCTACTCAGAGTCATTGGCGGCTCCATGCAGTCATTGGCGGCTCCATGCGGAGTCATTGGCGGCTCCATGCGGAGTCATTGGCGGCTCCATGCGGAGTCAATTTGGGGCTCCATGCGGGGTCATTCGGCGGCTCCATGCGGGGTCATTCGGCGGCTCCATGCAGAGTCATTCGGCGGCTCCATGCGAAGTCATTCGGTGGCTCCATGCGGAGTCATTTGCCGGCTCCAAGCAGAGTCATTTGCCGGCTCAGCTGCGAGCCATCTAGTGGCTCCAAGCAGAGCCATCATACCAGTTGCTCGAATCGGCACTCCCAGCTTAATCCAAAACTCGGTTGCTCTGTTGTGAGGTGGGGGGGATGCTAACCTAGGAATGGGTTTGCTCCCCACACTGGAGCTAGCGCTTTTCCGTCGACTTGACACTTGACGGACTCACGACTGCCATCCAGAGTCGCCACCACTATTTCTAAACCATACGGCTAATTATTTTAGTTAGCTATCCACTTACCGGTACAGTAAAACCTGTGACTACCGACCACCCCTTGGTGCCAGCAAAAGCGGTCTTTAGTAGCAGGTGGTCTTTAGTTAGAGGTTTGCACCGCGTGACCATATGTGGATCCCATTATATGATATGTATGTCAAAATGCAGCTAATACGATTCCCCAGGACTTGCGCAATGTCAGAAAGACGGAGAGATGGAGAGAGAGAGAGAGAGAGAGAGAGAGAGAGAGAGAGAGAGAAGATTAATTTTTTGCAGACTTCAAATTCAGCTGCTACTTCTGAAGCCAGGAGTCAAACGTTCCCTGGGGAAGTTTCGTTTCGCGCTGGGCTTCAAATTTGTTCATGCGATCAATCATACCGACTGTCCTTGTTGTGACTTCTGGATTGCTTGAACGCGATCCTTCAGCATCAGGACCTTGTGGTGCTGCTTTGTTTCTGGATTCCTTGATGCCATCGTCAATCCGTCTGTATGACTGGTGTGACAGAGCCGCCCAGTCTTCGTTTCTCCTCCGAGTAGTAACATCGATCAGAGAGCGCTTTCGATGCGCTCTCCAAGACGTTTCCTATCATGTTTTTTCTTGACAGCGCTTGAAATGTTGACAGGTGTAGTGCAGTCCACACCGACTCCACAGCCAAAATTACCTGCATTCATTTGTTCAGCTGCTGTAGTATCGAAAGATTCTTTTCAGGACCATGGAAAATCAGTAAAATTTCAAGAAGGAGCTTCGAGCAACATTTGATTTCCTACATCGCGGCCGCTAGTTACGGGTCAAAAATTGTGTTTGGGACAGGAAAAGGCGGTCGCTGGTCGCGTTCAGAAGGTAGTCGCTAGTCACAGTGCATTTTGAATGTGAGACCTTCCGTGCCTGGCGAAGTGGTTGGTAGTACCAGGCTGGTCGCTAGTGACAGTGGTCTTTAGTTACAGGTTTTACTGTATATCCCTTACCGAAATTGTATTCTTGAACGCAATATTCTTCTTTCTTTTTCTTCTACTCCGTTCCATCAGCACTCGGCCGATGGCAGGAGATTGGTACCCACTGGGCTAGCATGCAGCAGCCAAAGCTGGGGCCTTTTCTTACTCCGTCAAACCCACTTCTTAAAACAAAACTGACGTGCATATTCACATTGCATGTTGTGAATGTCCCCATATTTGCCCCGACATCTTAGCTCGTACAGCGCTCCAGATACATCTATGCTACGGTGCGCACCGCATACTCGAATTACGGTACGGGACACATACAGGATACTGCACCAACCATGGCATGCCACGTGAACCACCCTACCAGACACCGTGACACGCACCGAATTACAGCGGTGAGGATACTGGCTAGCGCCAGATGCTACTAAAGTACAACTGAATAGCGTCTTTTGCATAGCTACGGGAATAATCTCATATCCCAAGTATTGCAGCTCTGCTGATAGAATAATTCAGGTCACTCCCACTCCATTTCTCTAGTGCTTATTTTTCTGAAAAAATATTATCTTTGGCACCAGAATGCTGCCACCAAGAGTACATTAACCAGAGTGTGCAGCCCAAAGAGAATCATCCCACGGCAAAGTTTATTGTTTAGGGCATAGACTCGCAGTAACAGGCTCACCTTTGCTGCATCTCACTCCGCTTCACACGGTCATCTACTCTATCACCATGGTAATTTCTGTTGCACATTGCTGCTTGTTTAACAAAAACGTAGAAAACACACCGAATTTCCAGGTAATTGCCATGGTGATACGGTACTTTAGCTTGAACCTATTGTATGACGGGTTTTCTATGATTGATAATGACCCAGAGAGAAACTAAACCGGTATCGAATTCCAGTCAGCGACGCAATTCTTCTGAGGTGTAAAGTGACTTCAGGAATATGTTGCAGAAAACTGCGATGCATGCTGATTATTTAGTGTGCCCTATTGTGCACAATATACCAGGTGTGTTACTCAGGGATGAAGTAGATGCACACACGTGCCGGGCATCACGGCACAGGTTAGGTTTGCTACTAGCCGCTGCAGTGTACTTGTGGTCCGAACTTGCACTCTACTCAACTCTGCATACGCAAAGAGTGCTGGTGCCGAAATGAACCAGAAGGGTACTGAGTGGGACGCAACAACACTGACTCTGTCTACCCATGTACACAGATATGATAGGGTATGCAGTACCTGCTCTAAGATTTAACACAAACCGGGTACACGTCTACCTGGCACAATTCCTGCAACACTGGGCCAGAGCCAGATGCGTTCAAGTGCGGCTACTGTGTGTCAGGGAGTCGTAAACTTACTTTCGACTTCCTGATGTACATGATTGTACATGTACATGTATGAACGTACTCGCACTGGGCACTCTGGCCGCACGCATCTGCACGCGTATGCAGCCTGTCAGTGGCGGTATACCCTCGAACGGTATAAAAAAGTATAGTACTCGACAGGACTTCCGACCGGGTCTCAGGTAACCCAGTGTTCTTTTTCCAAAAGGTCCAAGTACTCACAAACAGGGCCACTGACCCGGCTCTGGAGCAGACACTGGTAATCTAGGTCCAAGTTTGCTCGATTATGTTCTGACGCTTCATGTGCTTTCATAGCCAAGGTTTCTCACTTTCTTCGCAAGCTCTTTTAGTCTTGAGAGTTGACAACTGCTTATGGTTGTGTTGGCAGAAAACATGTCAGCTAATCTGACAACCGGCCAACCCCATTTTACTGGTAAGTAGTCAGCGAGTGGCTTTGATGGGGCCATACAGTACTAGAGGGGAAGTTACGCGGCATATTTGTGCTCCCGTTTTGAAAACACGTTCTCGCTCGAAGGGTTTCTAAACTTTATCCCTGCGCTCATTGATGGAGTTCATCGATGGAGTTGCCAGCGGCACTCTACAGAAGAACAATGTTGTCAAGTTTTTTATGAAAAATTGTCAAACATTTTCAAATTGCTATAAGTTTGGTTAGGGCCGGGTTCCACTGCGGCTCCGCAGCTCCGCTGCTCCACGGTACTTGGCTGCATGCAGCAGAACGGCGCGGTTCCAGTGACACTCGCCATTCACGGTACCGCGATCGTGCTCGACGTTTTTTTTATGACATTTAGCCTGCCTGCGCGCGCGTGAAATCCAAAAAAAATCCTCGTGTTCTGGCCTGTGCAACGAATTAAAATTCCCCCGAATAAAACAATTAAGTGCGGGAGACAATGCAAGCCGTGACCGCGGCTTGCATTTTTTTGTATCAAGCAGCGAAGCGAAAGCTGGTGATGAGCCGCGGCCTCGCTGGACCAGCTCGTAATGATGACGTTTCATGCCGTGGATGATGTGCGGCGGAGCGGCAGTGAAACCCAGCCCTTAGGCAAAGGACATTTGTCATTAATTTGTTTATGCTGCATAGATGGAGAGCTGCACACTCTGGCTTATGGACTCTCGCCTACAGTGTAGTCGTACTGCTAGTGTACTGGCATTACAGAAGACACGAAAAACGAGAACATAGGTATGGCGAGAAAGTAATTACTGGCTAAGAATTGCCCTAAGACTTACCGCTTCTCAGTGCTCCATACCAGGAAGTAGTACACTACCTACTCCCTGCTCCATACGAGTGTTCTCTCCTCATTCTCTGCATCCTTTACCTCAGGAGTCTCGTCCATTTAGCGGCTCAAATGCTTGAGCTCCGGATAGCGGAAAATAGCTCGTCGTCCATTAGCGGCTCTAATAGTACCTGGTCTGAAGTGTCGCAGTCTAGCACAACTATGATTTTTTCCAGGAGGGTAAGGGTTGCAAACCCAAAGAGACCCTAAGCTTCGTCTATCAAACAAAACAATTGCCCTAAAAAATGGAAGAGGAAAAGAGTGAGCGAGCTGGTCTGAGCGCGCTACTTTTCAAAAAATAGAAGCTGAAAGCCATCAAAGTCAAAGCATTCTGGCTAGCGCGTTTGTGTATGTCACAAGCGCTAGCGCGCTAGTCGCAGCAAACGCTCGCAGGCCAGAGTTAGCGCTATTTGGGCTGTTTGCCGCACGCGGCAGCTGGATGGATCACGTGATCCAAGCTGACAAATAAGGTCCGATGGTTCAGCTACATTGAGCCACAAGCGTATGGCTTAGTGTACGTGAAGGTTTCGAGGTCGCCTATGACTATGACTATGACTACATGTATACAGTATGTCTACTGGACTTTGATTGTGAGGCTGCTGCCACGGACCGCAGCAGCACAGGCACGGACAAGAATCTGGGCATGTTGAAGGGGATGTCCCTCCACGTCTCCTCGGATCAAGGCGTGGACTTAGTAGATCTACGTAGTCATTGTATGTTTGTAGCAGTGTGGCGTTCCCGTATCCAAGCCGATGTCAACTATCTGTCTTTGAAGTCATGGCAGCGTGTCAGCATGTCAGCCACTTGAACTGAAGTCTTCTCTTTGGTGAGGAGCTGGTTTGGTTGTCATTTGACTTGTGATGATCCGTCCACAATACACGTATGACGGCAGTCCCTTCAAATTTGGAGGAACAGTCGTGTAAACATTAGCAGTCTACAGTGCACCACAAATGTATGAGAATGTAAGCAATTATCACCAGAAATTATTACTATCAAGAAGAGGTTGGTGGGACTTCGGCGATACTTGGGGAATTGTGTGTTGCTCCCTACGTGGGAGCTCGCGCTTTTCCTGCCGACTTGAATTCTCACAACTGACATGTTTTTGAGACATTCAACGACCTGAGACCTAGCTCTCACACACCTCCCCGCTCCAGTGCGCAAACCAACAGCCTTCCAGCTTGGAAGGTTCAAGGTTCATGCAAGGCTGTTGGTTTGCGCACTGGAGGTGTGTGAGAGCTACATGTAGGTCTCAGGTCGTTGAATGTCTCAGTAAGATGTCAGTTTTCTGCCCGGTTATCGCACGTTCTGACTGCTTATATTCTTGTTACAGTCGTGGTTAGTTGCTTCTTAACTCGTTCGTCGGGCCATTTGATTTCTTCTATGAATAATGCAAACCCAGAAATATATACTGTTGGTGTTTGTGTCTGTGTCCTGTATGTTGCCATATTCGGATTGAAACTTTGTCCCGCACAAAGGTTTGCGTCAGGAATGGATGTGTGCTACAGGTCTTGTTGGGTAAGGTCATTTGCTCTGTGACTACAGTTGTGGCCAAAAGAAATCCAACCTGCAAGTAAAACGTTGCACAGCGTTTCCAGTTCAATTACAGCATGCACGTTCCAAAAACGTATGTGACAGCGGTAGGAGCCGTGTGAGCCTATGCGCTGCTTTCGCCACGTGAGTCGGATTTCTTTGGCCACAACTGTAGCTTGTGTGTGTGGACTAGATCTGCTTTTATGTGCCTCCCACGTGTTCATGAAGAGAGAATGATGACATAGTAAGATGAGAGTAGTGTTCGCACATTTTGAAAATAGATTTTCAATCTCTAGACAGTCATGTAGATGTGTCACCCTTGTTAGGTGATACTGAGTGGTGACAGGGTCCCCCCCCCCCCCCCCCCGCCCTTCATCCACCTGATATTCCCCGTCTTTACAGAAAAGAAACAGATTGCTTTAGTGTCCACTAACACGACACGTTTAAACTAAACAATCAGCTCATGTTATCAGCTTATGTTACCATATAACTTAGAACCTTCCAAGTTGGAAGGCTGTTAGAGTGCACATCCAAGATGTGCTAGAGCTGTTAGCCAGTTAGTTGTAGAAAGTCAGTCCCGTCGGTCAGTGTCGTGCAATGTTATCGCATGAGCTGATTGTTTAGTAGCTGGTGGTGTTAGTGTAACATGCAGTTCCTTGGTTCTTTTTCTTTTCTATGAATTTATCCTTGGCTCTCCATCGAAGTCAATCCTTGAAACAGATTTTGGTGAACATTGGGGTGTACATTGATGGCGACCAGGAAAGAACTGAGTAACATGCCGCCTGTTGCGCAAATGTTCCATTCAGGGACGTATCCACTTTTAAGTGCAAAGTACAAACCTTGAGCTATGGATAGTATTGTGGTGCTGAGGCTTCCAAATCGTTTGCCCGAGTTGGTTCAATTGAGCTGTAGACTGATCCCACGGTTAACTGCCGGGGTGACAGTGGGCATTAATTGCAAGCCTGTGCATGTAAGATTGCATTGGTTGCCCTACATGCAGGGCAGTGTATAGTCATATGAAATGTTGTGTTACGTTTCATGTACAACTTCGGCTAGCCATACGTGGCTCCCCGTATAGTGACCGGCCCCTTACTACCTAGGGCGCCATTATACATGCACGGGGGGTTCAGCTTCGGACTTTTTAAAAGTGTGGTCAGACATGCGGACAGTGCAAGCTCCTACTTTGGTGTGGACCGTGTTGCATATGGTATGGTACTTCCACATAGATTATGAAAAATGAAAATATTCAAGCAATTTATTGCACGTTCATTTTACACATGCAAATTTGCCGTAACAAGTCTGTAAATACCAGAACCCGTTGTTTTCGCTGAATCCAGATTGCGGAAGCGAGAGTATTGCTCCCAAAATTTTGGAGGCAGTTTATTTGAGTTTCGGTACTTCCGCATTTCGCTGTTGCCATGGTGTTCTCGCTCCACATATACTGGCACACACAGAGATATAGACAGCAATAGAATCAACACACAAAGTGAAGGGTAGTTGTATGCAGTCAGATGTAAACTGCATGGATAACGAGTGAGGTATGGAAGCAAGGACTGAGAACAGGGTGTCTCAAATGTAATAGGTGTGCAAGCGGATAGCAGAAATAGGCCATGATGCAGAACCACTTGGGACCCTCAGATAAATTTTTAGCCTACGAAGTAGGGAGTCATCAAAAGAACTCCCTGGATCTTTAAAAATTCCTTTCCATAACTGTTGTCTTCCTGGTGCTCTCTGCCCTGGTGCTGTGTTGGTCTGGAATGAGAATATACTGCAGCAAGGCTGTGAGTGGCATATGCACATCCAATTCTTGCTTCATACTGCTCAGTGTAAGCCATTTACGCTGCTGTATTCCAACGGTGTATAACTATCTAGTTGTTATCATGTCTACTTGTCTTCATTTTCTCTTCCAGCTAACCAGCTTGCACGGCCATGGAGTACAGTACAATGTACGGCTCTGAAGTCAGATATCTCATCTTTCACTTCAAAGAGTCCTGAGCAAGGCATGAAAGTGGGGGATGGATATGACTACGATACGCTTTCTTCACATCACACTGTTCTACTTCGAATGGGTTCAAAGCCTCACATCTCTCCTCCAAGGCAACATTTGCAAAGGTAAGCTGTCTGTGCTGAATCGTTATCCAATGTGATGAGATACAATTTAAATTGCATGTCGTTTTCAACCAAAACAGTGTACGCTGTCAAGCAGACCATTAGGAGTAGTTATGGTGATAGCGGACGGGGAAGGGTTTGTAAATACATACGCTCCAATTTTACCCAATGCTGAAGACAGCAAGCTGTGCCGGCCATCAAGGCCTTATCGGTACAGAAACGAGCTCTTAAAAGTAAGGCAAACTACCAGCCATGGTGCAAAGGTGGCACACCAGCTATTAAAAGACAGCTCGTCGCTCTAGCGGCAGAGTGCTCAAACTATGAATAGCTGCAAGCGATGCGTAGCGCAGCAGCAGTAAAGCAGCCGACCAAGAGTGCTCAACAAGAGGAATGCTGGGGAGGGTAGTATCCAATAGGCTTCAATTTTGTTCAAGCATAAGATATGATGGTAAGTCATGAGCCCATGGTTGGCCAATTTTTAACCCATGGTTGGCCGATGGTTAGCCCATGGTTGGCCAATGGTTTAACCCATGGTTGGCCAATAGTTAACCCATGGTTGGCCAATGGTTAACCCATGGTTGGCCGATGGTTGCTGCCACCTTGAAGGTTAGATGTTGATAGCAGATGAGCCGGTGTCCAGGTTTTGTGGATATTGGTGCGGTTATAACTACGGACCAGCACTTTCGTTGAGTGATTGTAGGCTTGTGCGCGGATCACGAGGTCCTGATTTCTAGATCCGCGCTGACAGCCGGGAGCAGGGAGTGTGCACCTGTTAGGGTTTGCTTATGAGACTTGCCATAATTATTTAACATGTCTGAAATGATACCACATACTCGTAATTATAGTTAATGCACAAAAATCACCCCTTCACAACATGTTTATATCCAACCTCACCACACCGGAATTTCAGGTGGTACATAGTCCGGCCAAACGGGATACTAAAAAACACTGTTTTCCAACGGATTGAGTTGGTCAATTTTCTTCCGAAATAAGGTCCAGCCTTCACCGGACTGGCTGCACCATGTGCTACGGACCTGCACCAACTCTTACGAAACTTCTGACTGGTTACCTAGAATTTGATAACATTTTTTTCAGGAATCCGGCCACAACGCCTGCACAAATACATACGATGACATAACAAAGCCCTAAAAAAATATTTAAAAAATTACTAAATAGCAATAGCTACCTCTGAAACCGCCAGCATGATTTGATAACATGCTTGCTACAATGTTATCGGGATGTTAACGTAAAGTTTGGTGTGATACGTCATCAGCCGTGTGTTGCTGCAGCTTGAAGGGTAGATGTTGAAACCAACACGAATGTCAGCCAGCTTAGCCATGTCCACATGACGGGTTATGCACATCCTGGGGCCCAATGTATTCTTGCAGAGCCTCAAGGGACAGCAGACAGTGGCTGTTCGGTATTTTCTGTACAAGCTGATGTGATTCCACGGTGCTCCTCTGGTCTCTTGTATAACTCCCCCTTTCTCAACACACCAACCGAGCCTGTTAGCTCCAGTCAGTGTTGACAGACTAAGGGTCAGAAACAGTCTCCCTTCAACTGTTCGCAACTCCAATGCTCGTTCCTGTTGAATAAATGCATATGTACATTAGGCTACTTACATACACACACACATACTCGTACATCCATACATCCACACATCCATACATACAAACATACAAACATACATCACTT